AGCTTGGCAAATCCTGTATAGATGAAGATAAGCATGCCCTGCAACCTAGCAATTCCACTCCTTGGTGTAGTCCTAGACCAGCTCTCACACATTTAGGTAAGAAGACTTGTACCAAATGTCCATTGTGGCATTGTTTTTCAAGGCAGTAAGTGAAAAAAAGTGAAGGTAATCACTAGGAGAGTGGTAAAGCGTGGCAATTCAAGTAATGGAATACATACATCAAGGTGGTTAAACATCAGAACCGTTGAACTTTTGCAGAAAAACATTGCAGGAGAATATGATCCAGTCATAGAAATTTTGAAAACATGCAAAAAATACTTGATTTTATTTATCAATTTACTTATATGTAATAAAAGTTTTTAAATATTCATGGAAATAACATAAAATTCAACATGGTGGCTACCTCTGAGAAGAGAAAGGAAATGGACTTGCGTAGATATATATAGGCATTAATTAAATCTGTCCTTAAAAAAAACCTTAAGGCATATATATCCATACATATATATGTATGTATATGTTCTCTAAGAAGTTATTCAACAAGGCTGGATGGTGAGTATTTATATGTTAATATATTATTACACTTTATGTTTGAGATATTTCATAGTATTTTTTAAATAATGCATGTGTGAAATAGCTTTATGGAAAAATAGCGGGTCTTTGGATTAAGTTATTGTCCTGAAGTAAGAGAATGGACTTCTTTTTAGAACAAATACTAGAAGTGTACTGTTATTGTTTACCACTCTGTCCTCCGTCCCTACCCCTCCCCCAAAAAACACACAGCCATACCTTTTTATACAAGGACACCGAAACCTTTGCGTGATAACAATAAACCCCTTATGGAGGCCACTGGCTTTCATTTGTAAGCCTTACACATATGCAGCAGAAAAAGTAAATTCATTTATAGTCTGTAAGATGAAAAAAAGAGAAAAAGAAAACTTCACTGTAGCAGGAACCACAAGTGCCACAAGATATTGGCCTCCTTTTTCCCTAGTAAGGCTTAATGATATTTTATATTTTCCAGAATAGAAATAGCTTCATTCTTTTCACTCATTAAAAATGATTTATATTCTTTGGGAAAAAAACTCAAATAACAATAATTTAAAACAACCTATAATTTCATCACCCTATAATAATCACTATAAATATTTTAACATATCTTTCTATTCATATATTTAATATATTAATATAATGTTCATCCATAAAATCACACTCTATGTCAGGCATGGTGGCTCACACCTATAATCCCAGTACTTTGGGAGGCCAAGGTGGAAGGATCACTTGTGGACTGGAGTTTGAGACTAGCCTGGACAATAGCAAGACCCTGTCTCTACAAAAAAAAAAAAATAAAAATTAGCTGGGCATGGTGGTACATACCTGTAGTGTCAGCTACTTGGGAGTCTGAGGTAGGAGGATCACTTAAACCTGGGAATTGGAGGCTGCAGTGAGCTATGATGACACCACTGCACTCTAACCCAGGTAACAGAAGTGGATCCTATCTCCAAAAAAAAAAAAAAATCATACTCAACATTTTTTAATTTGCTTTTATATGTTATAATGTATCTTAGAAATAATTCCCATGTTAGGAGAAAAATCTATCACCTCTCTTTTAATGGCTCATAGTATTATACTGTATGGTCATACCATAATGTATTTCAACGAAACCACCTTATTATTTTTACGCTTTTTGCTTGTATGTAACACTGCGGTGAACACACCGCACATAGCTCTTTGAGCATTTTTCCATTTGTTTCCTTTGGATAAGTTCCTGGCAGGAGATTTGCTTTATCAAAGTAAATGTATAATTAATAGTAAGGCATTTGGTACTGTACCTGTGAGAGTTCTCCAGAGAGGGCAGCGGGCTGGAACTCAGGAGTTAATAATGCAGTCTTGAAGGAAAATTTCTCTTTTTTCAGGAAATCTCAGTTTTTGCTCTTAAGGCCTTCAACTGATGAGACCCACATACATATTGAGGATAATCGTTTTTACTTAAAGTCAACTAATTATAGATGTTAACCATATCTATGAAATAATTTCACAGCCATGCCTGTGTTAATACTGATTAAATAACTGGCTGCTATAGCATAGCCAAGTTGGCACATAAAGCATAAGTACATAAGAGTACCTGTTGCCAAATGGCCTTCCAGAAAGTCTGCACCAGCTTCCATTCCCACAACAAGTCTGTAAGAATGTGTATTTCCCTACATAGTTACCAACATTGTATATCTGGAACTGTTTCATTTTTAATAATCTAATCAGTATTGTTTCTAATGGTGTGTTATAGCCACGTTAATCTTAAATTTTAAGGAAGGGAGTGAGGGATCAAAAATTACCTATCAGGTACTACATATGCTATTCAGGTAATAGGTACACTAAAAGCCCAGACTTTACCCCTATGTAGCTCATCCTGGTAAGAAAAAACCACTTGTACCCCCTAAATCTATTGAAATACAAATAATAAATAAATAAGTTAGGTTTTAAATTTAAATCTGTTATGCAGTTTAGGATGCTCTAATATAATAATTTTCACAAGAAATCTGTGCCTTTTACTTTGTAGAACAGAGTGAGCCACCTCCCTTCTAGAAACAGAAAATACAATTCTTCATTTTAAAAGTGACAATGCTGATCTCTACACCTTGTTTATGTCACTACCTCAAACCTCTTTTTCTGGCCTGTGGTACAGAGAGTGTTTTTGAAAAAAAAAAAAAAGATGTGAAAATGAAAAAGTCCATTTTTCTGCTA